ATTTTAAGGGCATATTGCAAGGCCGCATGATCCGTACGTACGATAAAGGAATGGCCGTACAGGTACGGTCGAAACTGACGTAGGAAAAAAACAACGGCTAGGAGTTCCCTGCGAGTGACACAGTAGCGGGTTTCCGCGGGAGACAAGACCCGGCTACCATACGCCACGACACGCTCTACGCCCCCTCTAGACTGGGATAATACCGCGCCAATACCTGTGTCACTCGCGTCCGTATCAAGAATGAATGGGCGATCGAAATCGGGATAATCCAATGTTGGGGCCGTAGCCAACAGATCGCGCAGACTCTGAAAGGCCGCCTCCTCCGGCGGTCCCCACGCAAACTTACGTCCCTTACCCGTAAGGAGGTGCAAGGGCCTCGCGATCGTCGCAAAATTCGGCACAAACCTCCGATAATATGAGGCAAATCCCAAAAATCGACGTACATCCCCCACGGTGGCCGGAGTAGGCCAATCCCGGACACACGCCGTTTTTTCCGGGTCCGTGGACACCCCCTCAGCACTCACGATGTGTCCCAAATAACGGACGGACCGTTGCAGTAGGTGACATTTCTTTGGTTTGAATTTCAAATTGGCGGAGCGCATCCTCGTGAACACCGTCTCCAGCCGCCTTAAATGTTCGTCAAATGTGCGGCTGAAGACAATAATATCATCCAAATATATGAGACATGTCTCCCACTGCAACCCCGTCAACACGAGCTCCATAAGCCTTTGAAATGTGGCAGGGGCCGCATTCAGCCCCATCGGAAGGCAGTTGAATTGAAACAACCCCTGTGGCGTACGGAATGCGGTTTTCCTCCCGCGAGGGCTCGTCAAGGGGAAGCTGCCAAAATCCCGAAGAGAGGTCCAGTGTGGAAAAGAACTTGGCCCCCGACAATGCATCGAGGGAGTCGTCCATACGCGGCAGGGGATACGCATCTGCCACTGAAATCTTATTCAATTTGCGAAAATCAACACAAAATCGCAATGTGCCATCCTTTCTCTTGACCAAAACCACAGGCGCGCCCCAAGGGCTGTTAGATGGCGATATAATGTCCGCAGCCAACATGTCCTCCACCGCCCCCCGAACGTGGTCTCGCTCGGCGGGACTCATTCGGTGCGAATTCAACCGAATAGGGGCAGCGTTGCCTGTATCAATATGATGGTGAAGCAACGAGGTGCGCCCCAAATCCAAATCATCGGAGCTAAATACATCCGAAAACGTCAACAACAATTTGTGAAGCGCACCACGTTGATCGACGGACAGGGAAGAGTTTCCGTCACACAATTTAGCAATCCAGCGATCATCTGAAGGCACCGGCTCAGAAACACCAGCAACCACCCCCTGGCTACGCGAACAATCCTGAGCCGTAAATGCCGTCGTGGCATGTGCCACGACCGTACCAGCCGGAACGCAGACGGTTTCCGCACCCGCATTGAGCACCTGTAAAAAAGGTAATTGATCCGGCCGGACGATGGTCTGTGCCCCAACCAGCGCCAATCCGCTCGTTATCGAGGCTGATGGAGACAACAAAACCCCAATTGCTCCTAGCCGATCAGGCAGGGGCTTCCGATACCGCAAGGGAATAAGCATCTGTGAGCCAGGTGGGATGTCAACAGATGCCACGGACAGCACCTGCACTTGTACGGCTGAAGCAGGTCACCCCAGGGCGAGGGCAGAAAGGAGATTTGACGGCCACCTGGCAGTTCAATACAATTCTCATTAATTTTGATCAAAATAGGCATCTTAGCCAGGAAATCAGTGCCCAATAAACATGGAACTGCCAAGGACCTTGAAATCAACACCATGCCCGAGGCCGACACCTCCCCAATAGTTATTTTAGCGTCCACCTGGCCCACGATGCCCATGCTACCCCCGTTCGCAGCGACGCATGACCCGTAAACCGGACGCACGGCCCCGGGTGGGATGCCCAACAGATGGAAAATGACATCAGAAATGATAGTGGCGGACGCGCCGGAATCGACTAGAATGCGCACGTCCACCCCTTGTATAGATCCTGGTACGGTGGACGAACCCGTAGCGGCCGCGACAACCCTCCGTGCCAACTTGCGCCACTGCGTCACCGAGCGACAAGGCCCCGTCGCTGGCCTCTCATCAACAATAACATTCGGATCGCACAACGAAGGTGATGGGTGAGGTGCAAAGCCTTGCCGGGTGTCTGGTGAATGCCGACTTGCCTGGTTCGGTGGTTCCTTGGTCGGCTTGGCCGTTGATGAGGCCTCCTGTTGCGGCGGACCCGGGATGCGGGCCCAGCAGTCCTTCGCGTAGTGGCCCCTCCGTCCGCAGCGGAAACAATCGGCGTCGTTGCGCCGAAGCGCAGGCCTTGCATCCCGCCGGCCTCGTACCGGTGGTGCAGCGCGAGAGGCCGGTCCACCGCGGCCTGACCATGGCCCCGAGGCGGCCGTCAGCTCCTGAGGGCCCCCCCCATCCGGCACGTATACCGACTTCGTAGGGTCCCAACCCAGAGCGCCACCCTCTGCGACGGGCCCCCCTGTCCACGCCGCGACTTGTTTCCACCGTCGGAGGTTGAATTGTGCATCCAGACATTTTGCCGCCGCCCGGGAAGTGAGCTTCTCATGCCCGCACACCGGCATGGGAATCCCAAGATCCCGCGACAGCTCGAGCATCTTGCCCAAGATGAGAGGCTCGAGCAGGTCAGGTGTTGTTTCTGGATACGCGGCCATAGCCAAATCAAGCACCGCACCCCTGTATGCCACGGGCGACTCCTCGGGCGCTCGTTGTCGTTGAGCGAATCGCCGATGTGCGTCGTCAGGTGGCTCGTAGGCGTCGGCCATTTCTTGAAAAACTCCGTATAATGTCCTCTTCTTCTCGGCCTTAATGGAACGAAAAAATCGAACAGATTCGTCGTCCAGAAGAGTCGGCAACACTTCTAAGGCCTCAGCATCGGTCCATCTCGCAGAACGGACCGCCGCCAAAAATCTACAGGCGAAAGCGCTCCAGTCGCCCCCAATGGCGAATTCTTTGACCGTGGTGAGATGGCGACTCCGACATCGCTTTACTCCGCCCTCCGCCGATGGCTCCTCCGGTGGCAAATTCAAAATGGCGTCGAACCGCGGCGTGGTCAAGATGGCGGTTTCCCGCCGCGGAACGCGCAAGATGGCGGCCTCCTGCCGCATGGCCGATGGCGCCGGGAGCGAAGATACTGTGGCGGCCTGTGGAGCACTCTCCGCTCTCTCCGTCGCCGTCCTTGGGGTGACGAGATGACACAATTGGCCCAGGACGTCCTTGAGAGTCTCCAGTTGCTCCGCCACCTGCAGCCATCGCGGATCAGCGTCTGATGTTGTCGGCGGCCCTGACACTGCGGCTACATCTTCAACCCCCGTCCCCACACTCGTTTCAGCAGGGCTCTCCTCTACTACCCCGGCAGGATCCATGTTTGGAGGGAAGTCGTCGTCTTCGGTTGAAGAAGCCGATGCTGGTGCTGGAACATTTTTCTTTCTCACTTGTTTCGACATGCCGTTGCACTTCCGACACCAATGTAATAAAGGACTCGACCACGAAGTCTGGCTTGGTGTCCTTTATTCGGTTCTTCCTCGTAACCCACACGGCTGTCCTTCTATAAGGCTTCCACACTGATACTGATACTGCTGTTAACCCCGTCACGCCAACAGCTCCTCTGTTGGTCTCCCGTTGTTCTCGTAACCTTCCAGCAGCCTCGCCGCTGTTACCCTCACGCAGCCCCCCACTGGCTGCACTCGCTGCAGTCTCTCTTCTCGTCGCTCTCGTAGCCTCTCACACACAGCCTCGCCGGCTGTGTTCACCGCAGCTCCTCAACCGCCCTCTCTCCAGCAGCCCCACTGCTGTCTTCTCTCGCAGCTCCGCTGGCTGCTCCCTTAGCTGGCCGGCGCTGGCCGCCGGTGCCACTCTTCCTGGCTTCGCCCAACGTGGCCTTACTCTTGTCCAGTCTCTAACTCTCTCCCTTCTCCTCCCGGTCTCATCCCTTAAGAACCTTAACCTTGCTCCCACGTCACCTAACTCCACCTCTCCGTGCCGTCACATCCGGGAGGTCGCCCGCGCCCGCATTACAAAAGGGAGACAAAGACACCCCGTAATGGCACTACGGACTGTTGGGGCAAGTGCTATTAGTGAGTGGGTGACCAGCACCACGCCAGGTCACCTTTGTGTCCCGAGTGGCGATATTTATACACCCCACCAGGTACTAACTTGAGGCTGAGGCGACCTAGGGGAGGCCCAGGACCGGTTTCACTGGTGTTAGCTGTGAGCTGGAATCAAACTCGGGTGGCCGGGTTCGTAGCGCAGCACGCTAACCACTGCGCCACCGCCCGCCATACACTCCCCCACCACCACATGCAGCACACACACACACATACACCTGCAGTGACACACACTCTTAACACGTATCTCCCCCACGGTACACACACTCCTCGATACAAAGATCCCCCGTGTAGCCTTAACAGACTGTTGGGGCAAGTGCTGCTGTTAGCGAGTAGCAGCACCTATGAAGGCCGGCACTGTGGCACACGAGGGGTGGGTGGGTGGCCAGCACCACGCGCGGCCTCCTGCGTCTCCCTCGTGGCGATGTTTACACGCCGCGCCGAGTACTCGGTTGAGGCTGAGTCGACCTAGGGGGGGGCAGTGTGGGGATCGGTGGCGCAGCGATTAGCGCGCTGCGCCGAGTTGAATTCCCACTCACGACGGACAACACTGGCTCATGTTTGAACCGATCCTGCGCCTCCCTTAGATTGTCATCATCACCACCATCATCACCATCATCATCACCATCATCACCATCATCATCACCATCATCACTACCATCACCACCATCATCATCACCATCATCACCACCACCATCATCACCATCATCACCATCATCACCACCACCATCATCACCATCATCACCATCATCACCACCACCACCATCACCACCACCATCACCACCATCACCACCATCATCACTCTTTGTCTCCGTGTGCATCTCACTCTTCATCTCTGTGTGGCAGGTGTTCCCGTGGCGAGCGGCACGGGAAGAAAAGCGCCCTCGCCGTGTGGCCCGACGAGGCCGTCGACATCTGCCTGCCGCCCGGCAACCCCGACGACGACGACGACAACGACGATGGCGACCGCGCCACCGCCACCGGCTCCGTCCTGCTCGGCCTGCTTCTGCTTGCCGGTGAGTTCGTCGACGACGTCGGCACGGGGATTCGTCCGGCGCGATCGGAGCCTCTCGTGGTTCTAACGGGGCCGTCCCGGCGCGCAGTCACGGTGCTTCTCTACGCCAAGAAACGTCGCGGCGAGGAGCGTCTCGCCGAGTGGCTGCACAGCGACAAGGAGGACAAGGAGGGCGACAAGGAGGACAAGGAGGGCGACAAGGAGGACAAGGAGGACAAGGAGGGCGACAAGGAGGACAAGGAGGGCGGCGAGGACAAGGAGGGCGGCGAGGAGGAGGAGGACCAAGTGAGCGGCCCCCCACGCTCACCGACATGGCGCTCCGCACTTGCACGTCTTGGCGCTGCGTTCACGCGGTGCGACGACCAAACCCGGCGCCGTGCGCGTGAACCACCGCTCCGCCGCACAGTGCACGGCGTGTAGATGGTGATGATGATGTCGTCTTAATCGTGGACGTCGTTTTTAGCGATGCAATTGTTGATCTTGTCGACGCCGTGGCTACCGTTCGTCATCGCTGATTACGTCATCGTCGTCGTCATTGGCTGTCGATGTCGATGACGTCATCATCGTTAACGTCACCGTTTGTCTCCCGTGGTGGTGGTCTGGCTCCCAGGGCCTGCACCGTGGCCTCCTGCCATCGGACGTTCCCCCACTCACGGGGCCTCAACGTCCACCTGTCCTGGCACAAGCGTCGGGATGAAGTCACTGACACTTAGTAAAGAATGGCGGTTGTTGTTGTCACTGTGTGTGTCACTGTGTGTGTCACTGTGTACCGTTCTGGCCTTCGTAGGTGCTCGCTAACAGCACTTGCCCCTACAGTCTGTTAAGGCTATACGGGGGATCTTTATCTTTGTCACTGTGTGTCAGTGTGTCAGTGTGTGTCACTGTGTGTCACTGTGTGTGTGTGTCATTGTGTGCCTGTGTGTCTCTGTGTGTGTCTGTCTCTGTGTGTTACTGTGTGTCACTGTCAGTGTGTCACTGTCAGTGTGTGTGTCTCTGTGTCGCTGTCTGTGTCGCTGTTATTACCTTGCTTTGCGTGTGATTTTTGTCTTATTTTAGTTTTAATGGAGGGTAAACTCATAGTTGTTAAATGTCTGGGGATTCTTTGGCTAGTGGGGGGAGGGGAGACTGCTGATTGGACAACAAAGATTTGACTCTGCAACTAACGATCTTCTCCCCCCCTCCACCCCACCCTCCCCTCCCCCTCCTGCCCCCCCCCCTCTGTCCACATGCCCCCCCCACCACACCCCCCCACCACACCCCCCCACCACACCCCCCCACCACACCCCCACCCACCACTCCCCCACCCACCACTCCCCCCCCACCACACTCTCACCCACCACTCCCCCCCCCACCACACCCCCCCACCACCCCCCCCACCCCCCCCACCCCCCCCACCACCCCCACCACCCCCCCACCACCCCCCCCCCCACCACCACCACCACCACCCCCACCACCACCCCCACCACCCCCACCACCCCATGGGCATTTTGTTTGTTGTTATTGTTGTTATTACAAAGTCGTAATAAAAACTTCCACCGGTTCTACAATGTCAGGAGTTCGAAAATGAATATTGCTGGGCGGTGTTTTATTTGTTCTATGTAACACGATTTTTGTTCCTGGGTAGTGTTATTTTCTAATTTCTTACGCCTCAAAAGTATAGAAATGGCTATTATTCCGCACAAACTTTGCTTTTGTGACCAGGACTTTACGTGAAGGAATTACACAAATGCGCACCACGTGTTCTCATTGACAATAGGTACATATCAAAATGTCGCTGTCCAGGTCACAAAAGCAAAGTGTGTGGGGAATAATAGCCGCACTCTTTGGTTCTTTCGGTAAAGTCACGTGGGTAGAAAAAATAATAGATCACGACGTTTCGATCGCAACACAAGCAACCGTCATCAGGTGGGACAAACACGGCAAGAAACAACTTCAGTAGTTTGTCTCCCCTTGCTGTGGTTGACTTTACCGGAACAACCAAAGTCACGAAAGCTTCAAATCAAGATTGAATAATGTCCATGTTCTATACTTTTGATGCATAAGCAATGAGGAAATAACACTTACTACCCAGGAACAAAACATTCTAAGTGCGTTACACAGTGTTATTCATTGTGACGACTGATGCAATCTCTACCCACGTGTGTGCACGTGCGTCATGTTGAACCTCTTTCGCGCCGTACACAGCCCCAAGCGTGCAAATCGGAGGCGCGGGCAGGGAGGGAGTGACGGGTGGTAACGACACGGCGATTGATTATATCGATTCCCTTCAGGACATTGCTCACATCCACCGCAGCGTTACCGTCCGGCAACGTCAATGAAGGAAGGGGGTTGTTTTTGCAAAACTTTTCTCGTGGCAGGGGAATGACAAACAACAGGGAGTGCCTCCTTCTGGGGTGTGGGAGCGTGGCGTAAGGTGTGGAAAGCCGTAAGTCACACGTTGTATTAGAATTGGGACAAAATGGCACCAGCACACGATGGTGGGGTCGTTTGTAATTGGCCACGGCCCCTTACGTTGTGCCAAGCATTGCGGCCACTTCCTGGAGTCGTGGAGTTCTGCCATTACTCGTACATTTCATAAAAGCGTGTTTTTAATAAAGTTGTTTTAAATATTACTTGTTAAATGGAGGCCACGGACTGCGCCACGGAGCTTTTAGTGGTAAACAAGGCACCGTATTTACCGGGTAATACTTGGCGCTACCTTTACCCTACCGGGTAATTCTTCCGAACTACCTTTACCCTTTAACCCTTTACCTTACCGCTTGGCATGTCGACATCTTTACCCTTTACCCTTTTACCCGGTAAAAAATTAACCCGTAAAAACAACATTTTTCACTATAAATCCTTTATATGCGTGGCATCGGTTTTATTTTATTATTCATTTCTGTTTTTCTTGAGTAAGAGTTTCATTTTTATCACATTGGTATTTTAAATTAAATATAATTTATTTGTTCATAAAAAGTGGAAAATTTTGGAAACATTTTTCACGAAAATAAATTGACACGCACAACGAGTCTGTGTGCAAAATGTCAGCTCGATTGGATCACGGGAAGTGGGTTAAAAAACGACCGAAAGATTTGCACGGTCGTAAGCGCGCAAGCAAGCAAGTGAACTTAATATAAAGGATTTAAAAAGGGTAAATTACATTCCCTTGCCGAGGCCTAGCCATAGCCATGGCGTCAACATTAGGGGGGGGGGGGGGGGAGGCAAATCTTCTAGGGGGTTCTGGAGTCCCCCCCCCCGGATGGACTTTGTCTTTATTTTAAACAATGTCTAATAATGTATTGTATTACATTGCTGTTTTTCTTTTTTAAATCCTTTATATTAAGTTAACTTGCTTGCTTGCGTGCTTACGACCGTGCAAATCTTTCGGTCGTTTTTTAACCCACTTCCCGTGATCCAATCGAGCTGACATTTTGCACACAGACTCGTTGTGCGTGACTTTATTTTCGTGAAATTTTGTTTCCAAAATTTTACACTGTTTAGGGAAAACAAATTAAATATTTAATTACCAATTGCTTAATGGTGGCAGGCAATCATCTGACCCATAGGTGGCAGCCATCTCAAGCCAGAGGATGAGAGGACTCTAGCCGACACGCATATAAAGGATTTATAGTGAAAAACTTTGTTTTTACGGGTTAATTTTTTAACAATAATGTCTAATAGTGTATTGTATTACATTGCTCTGTTTTTCTTTTTTTACATTTTCTTGTTTCATTGTATGGAACAGCAGAGATCAGGAATGAATCAAGTACAACCACAATCATATAAACAAAAATCTTTTTTTGATTTAAAGCTTTCGTGACTGCAGGGATTCATCTTCTTGGTTTACCGAAAGAACCAAGAAGAAAAATCTATTTTATAGCGATATATTGGGGGGGACATTTTGATCATCTTTGAGTATTGAGGGGGATGGTTGAGAAATGTGACGTCACATCAAAATGCTCAACTTTAAATAACTGTAGAGAACGCGTTCTTCTTAATTAAATAGACTTTGTAATGTTTTCTCCTACAACATCAGAGTGCAACGCCACATTAAAAACGCACTACAATGACAATAGTTTAAAGCGATTTGAAGCATGTTTTTTTTTTTGGGGGGGGGGGGGCTGACGAACGAGCTTGAAAAGGGGATAAAGGGGATGAGGATGCGTTGGGGGTAAGAGACTCCGTTACCTGAGGCTCGCCGTCCTCTACTTTGACTGTGCACAGCGGCAGGGGGAGCAGCAGCACCATCCTAGTGAGGTATAGCCCCCTCATTTTGCAGACAGCAAAAAACATGATATCCACACCACCTACACGTCAGACACAGAGGAATGCATATACACAGTCACACGTGACTTACACGTCTATACGTATTCATACATTCATGATGTAGTGAAAAAGTTTCCCAAATTCATCACACGGGCTGTGTCACTGTGTCACTGTGTCTCTGTGTGTCACTGTGTGTCACTGTGTGTGTGTGTCACTCTGTGTCACTGTGTGTGTGTCACTGTGTGTCACTGTGTGTGTGTCACTGTGTGTGTGTGTCACTGTGTGTGTGTGTCACTGTGTGTGTCACTGTGTGTGTAACTGTGTGTCACTGTGTGTGTGTGTCACTGTGTGTGTGTGTGTCAGTGTGTGTGTGTGTCACTGTGTGTGTCACTGTGTGTCACTGTGTGTCTGTGTGTCTGTCACTGTGTCTGTGTGTGTCACTGTGTCTCTGTGTTTGTCTCTGTGTGTCACTGTGTGTGTCACTGTGTGTCACTGTGGGGGGGTGGGGGGAGCCCTCCCAGGAGGCCTCCGGCAGCAGCACCTGCAGGGTACGTGCACCTAGCCTGGCACAGCAGCAGTACAACCCGTGTCACCTGCAGGGTACGTGCACCCAGCCTGGCACAGCAGCAGTACAACCCGTGTCACCTGCAGGGTCTGTGCACCTAGCCTGGCACAGCAGCAGTACAACCCGTGTCACCTGCAGGGTCTGTGCACCTAGCCTGGCACAGCAGCAGTACAACCCGTGTCACCTGCAGGGTACGTGCACCCAGCCTGGCACAGTAGCAGTACAACCCGTGTCACCTGCAGGGTATGTGCACCTAGCCTGGCACAGCAGCAGTACAACCCGTGTCACCTGCAGGGTACGTGCACCTAGCCTGGCACAAGCGCTGCGGTGACGTCACCACCACTTAGTGGTTGTGGTAGTGATGGCTGGGGTGGTGATGATGTTGGTGATGATTATGGTGATGATGTTGATGATGATGGTGGTGGTGATGGTGGTGATGATGATGATGGTGGTGGTGATGATGGTGATGGTA